TTCCTTAAGGAATGAAGAGTTTTGTAACATGTATGATTTTGGCTTATGACTGATTCATGTTTGAATTCTGAATCCTCACTTCCTAGCTATACAGTTCTCAGTAAGTCACTTAAACCTGTTTTCTATAAACTGGACGTACTAGTACTAACTGAAGTACCAAATTTAGTAATTTGTAAATTAAAGATGCTTAATGTATCATAGCTATTATGCATATATTGGTTAACTACTAAAGTAATCTGAGAATAGTAGTAGACATTATCTAAATTCTACAGCACTATGAAGACTAGATTAGAGGCTAGAAGAACAGCTCAGAGAAATTACAGTAGTATAGGCAAGGAGCAAAAGGATCAAAATGAGAGTGTTAGAGACTACTTTGGAATAGAATACAATAAAACACTTTTTAGGCACAGAGAAAAGCTGTTACTGCATATGGGAGAGAATCTAAAGATGTACATAAGAAGAATTGATGACTAAATTGTGGAAGAGGTAAGTGGGGATGAGACATTGAACTCAAGGGAGATGTACTCTTTGCTTGCTTCCTTACGTATATTTAGGTACATAGTGGTGCTGTATTATGGGTTTTATGGCCCAAACAGCTATATTTCCCCATAAGTGTCATTAATCTGGTAAAGTATGAATTATCTAATCAACTATTTTTTGGTATCTGTACAACTTATCTGTTAAAGTAACAAAGCATTATTTCCCCTCTTTATATTTCCATGACATTAACTTCCTCAGGAAGCAATAGCTATAAAAGTCTTATTTTCCCTAACACATTGACAGAGTAGAATCCATTTGCTCTTCCCAACTGGTTTGTTCCTTGCACGTGATTGCTGAGGGCCATTACCAAGTAGGAATGACGCATCGAAATTTCCTTGCCAAGCGTACCCCATGCTGCTTAGAGGACATTCGATGGGACATTGCATGCATGCTTTAATAAGGTGACCTTGCTCAAGGACCAAGGAGGATCCAGGTTTAGAGCTGATCAGGTTTGAGTAAGTAACCGGCTCCTTGAGTTTAAGGCGTTGCCAGTTTAAGATAATGGGTTTTAGGGAAGTTGGAGATTGAAGATTATTGCTGGGATTAGGGTGTTCCTGCTGCTTGTTCCCGTTGAGTTCTCGTGAGATTAAAATGGGATTTGGAGAGAGCCTCGTGGAGTAGGTGAATTGTGCGGGAGACGGGAGAACGCGATTGCCCCTGGACCTGTGTGGAGGCGGTGTGAGAGCGGGAATAAAGAATTGCTGTTTGAACCTACAAAGGTGTGTGGTGGCTCGTGATTCTGGTGCCAAGCCGAGACCTTGGCACGTGATATTGTGCTTTTAAAAACTGATGAATAAGGGGCTGTGGTTGAGGCTCAGTGGTGGAGCACTTCCCTAGCACGCATGAGACACTGGATTGAATCTTCAGCACCACATAAAAATAAATAAAATAAAGGTATTGTGTCCATATACAACTAAAAAAAATTTTTTTTAACTGATGAATAGGCTGGTCACAGTGGAACATGCCTGTAATCCCAGTAACTCAGGAGGCCGAAGCAGGAGGATCACAAGCTTAAGGCCAGCCTGGGCAACTTAAAGCGACTCTGTCTCAAAATTTAAAATAAAGGGCTATGGATTTAGTTCAGTGGTAGAGCATCCCTGGATTCAATCCCCATACCACCATTAAAAAAATCAGTTTATGAATGACTATACTGGGTTTTAGTCAAAAGACCTGAGTTCTAGATCTGCCTAGGTAATTTTGAGCAAATTACTTAACTTCACTGGACTATAAAATATGAGAGGTTTTAGGGTAAGTGCTATTCAGGGAAATGCTAAAATGTACAGTTAGCCTTTTCATTTTCCAAAGAAAATGGTGATCCAATTATCATTACTTATTCCAACCAATGGGCTCTTCTGAGTTACACAGTTAAGTGCAAACATGGGTAAAGTTTTTATCCTAGTCAGCATCTTAGTTTGTGTGAATTTCTCTATGTGTGTAAAAGACCCAATACTGTGTGAGATGGCTTCTAATCAGAAAAATGTTGGGGAGCTGAATATGTAAAAGAAAATGAGTGTTTGCAGAGGCAAATGCTATAAAAATAGGATATAATGACATTTAGTTTCTTGCATTAAAAAAAAGGTAAATTACATGAATAGGAAATGTTAAGAGTTTTCTTCTACACTTGCAAAATTTCTTTACATGCTGATGCTACCACAGCTCTTTGCCAGGGGCAATTACCAAGTTTAATTAGATTGAATATGTTGTGCTGAAATGTTTGTTCTCAGCACACTGATGCAAAACAAAACAATCCCTTCACAATGATCAGAAGATAGTATATGAAGCTACACCTACAAATTAGTACCTACAAGACAACAAATTACTTATGCAACACATTTGTGCAATACTGTTTTCATTCCATATATCTAGATTTTCTGCATGATCTGGCTTGAGCTAACCTGTAATTCTCAAGTTGATTACCTACTACACTTATGCCATGATCACTTTGGCATGCACATGTGCATGTTTGTGTAGTATTTTATAAGCATTGATGTCCCTGCAAAAAAAACAATGAAAACATACAATAGAAAAATTCAGGGGCTGGGGATGTGGCTCAAGCCGTAGCGCACTCGCCTGGCATGCATGCGGCCCGGGTTCAATCCTCAGCACCACATACAAACAAAGATGTTGTGTCTGCCGAAAACTAAAAAATAAATTTTAAAAAATTCTCTCTCTCTTTAAAAAAAAAAAAGTAGTACTTCAAAATGACCTAGTGCCAGATTTTAAGAAGATAATTAAAATAAATATTCACTTCAGTGCTTACTCTGAAGCTTACTCTTACAATAATAAGGCATTGTGCTAGTTACTAAAGTACATAAAGATAATTAAGACGTGGTCCAAAGCCCATGACCTCAAGAAGATTACAGTTTGGTAGGTAGGTAAGGCAGATGAGAATAAAACAATTATTGTGCAAAGAAAGAAAACTGGCCACAGTGGATATTGAGAAAAACAGTGGAATGACAACCAAGAACAATTAATTCTTATCAAAAGTATCAATAGGAGAAAACATTTAAATTGAATTTTATACAATAAAGTTTCAACATATGATGGGGTATAAAACAGCAGGAACAAAGCCTTTGGAATGGGGGCTGGGGTTGTGGCTCAGCGGAAGAGGGCTTGCCTAGCATGTGGGAGGCCCTGGGTTTGATCCTCAACACCACATAAAGATAAATAAATAAAGGTATTGTGTCCAACTACAACTAAAAAAAAAAAAAAAAAGACTTGGGAACGGGAAAATCAGAAATATTCAAAGAAAGGCCAATGGTACAGGGTTTCATGCTCTAGGGATATTCCATGCTAAGCATTTCTAATTTTATGCTTTAGGTGGTAAAGAGCTGAAAGAATCTGAGCCAAGAAATTATATTTCCAATTACTTGTTTTAAAAATATCATTGTAGCAATAATGTTTAGAATTGTCTAAAGGGATGAAAAAGGAAAGCAACTTCAGATAAGAAGGTATGTGCCTCTTAAAAGTGAAGACTTATTTTTTCTTATTTTTTTGCATCCTCTGTGCCTAGTATTGTATCTGTCACAAAGTATGTTCTCAGTAACATTAAACATTATCTTTGTGGCCTCAATAGCACAGCATGTGAATATAACAATGAAGCCTAGTATCATTTTAAGAGATTTCCACAAATGCAAGGAATAGGTCTGGACAGTAGAGGGACTCCCTCCCTTTAATTATGTTTCCCCAGCTTTGTTTATACTCAAGTAATCTAAACTTGTTTAATTTCTATTTAGATTCAAAGTAACAATGGTATAAATAACGTGCATTAAAACTTACAGGGAAAATGAACTATTCTAAGATTCTCTTCATATGTAAAATTTTATAAATAATGATGCAGAAAAAGGATGATTTGGATATGGTAAAATTCCCTTTAGATATACAAAGAAAACTACCTTTAGAAACTTACAACAAAGACAAATAGGGAGAAAAATATTTGCAAAGTATATGGCAGATCAAAAGCAATATTCCTTCAAAAGCAATATTCCTTTCAAAGAGTGTATGGCCTGGTTCAGAGTTTGAGCTCTAAGTCAAACTGCCTGTGTTTGCAATTCTGTATCATACTTTCTACAAAATCTTGGGCAAGAGTTCTCAATGTCCCAGTTTTCTCATCATAAACTGGGCTTGTAATATCTGTAAACTGATCTAGTTTATAAGTTGTTGCAAAGTGTTTAGAATAGCTTTTGGCACATGGTAAATGTTAAATAAAATTTAGCTTTTAACAAAGTATTATCCTTGAGTTGGAGATGTTGCTTAATGGTAGAGTGCTTGCCTAGCATGATCAAGGTCCTGAGTTCAATCCTTAGCACCATTAAAATAAAAAATACAAACAGAAAAAATGAATTTTTTAAAAAGTATTATCTTTAATGTGAGAGATTGCAATATATTTTGCAACATCTGTTCTTTTTTTTCTTATATTAGTAGAATCTTCAAGTTGTAACCATGCACGTAATTGTTCAGAATAAACACTACATCTTCTAGCCTTTATTGCAGCCATGCATGGCCATGTCACCAGGGATTTTCCAATGAGATGTATGCAGAAGTATTGTTTGGGAGCTAATTCAAACTTTCCCTAAGAGATAACTGGACACCTACTAGATTCTCAAAATTTAAAAGTATTAAATTACTAAGGGTTGGTGAGGAGAAATAGCAATAGGAACTCTTAAACATTGGTGGTGGGAGTATAAATTGGTATAATCACTTTGGAAAGCAGTTTGGCATTTATTGAACAAATGCAAATATTTGCATATTCAATAATCCAAAAATTTTCCTAAATTTATGTTCTAGAGAGATATATATGGGTGTAATAGCCCCAAATTGTAATAATCTCAAGATCCATAGTGTCAGTCAGTTTTCTTATGACTTGAGCCATCAAACCAAAAACAAATCTATGCCATACAGATTATTTGAAAACAAATACCCAAGACAATAAACTTATAAAGAGGAAAGGTTTATTTTGGCCCACAGTTTTGGAGGTTTCAATCCATTGGTTAGCCCAGTTGCTTTGGGACATATAGTGAGGTTCATAAACATCTAAAACATCATTGCGGGGAGCATGTGGTAGAGCAAAGTTCTTCACATTATAGCTGGGAACAAAAGAGAAAAGGAAGGGGTTACAATCCCAATAATTCCTTCAAGGGCAGACCCCCAATGACCTAACTTTCTCACATTAGGCCCTACCTGTTGAACATTCCCCCATCTCCCAAGATATGCCATAGGTTGGGGGAACCAATACTTTAACATGTGGGCCTTTGGGGATACTTCAGATTCAAACTATAGCATCCATCAACAGTAGAATGGATAAATATATTGAAGTATATTTATATAATAGAATACATTCAGCAATGAAATTGAAATATATACATATGTGTGTTTTTTGTGTATATATATGTATATATGTGTGTGCATATATATCTTGCTTCTTCTATTGAGAGGATGTTGAGATATATATGTATGTACATACATATACACACATGATATATACATATACATACATATATATGTCTGTGTGTGTGTGTATATATACACACACACACACACATCCACTGAATACAACAAGCAAGAACACAAACACAAAAATTCAAAAATAGGCAAACTAGGCAAACTGTGTCATTTAGAAACGAATACTTGGGTGGAACTCTTTACATAAAAGCAAGGCAATGATTACTATAAAGTCAGGATTATAGTAATCTCTAGGTCTAGAGGGAGATTTCCTCTAGGGAGAGTTGTGATTAGAAAGGGAATCACAGGGCTTCTGCAATTTTGCAGTGTTCTGCTTTTTTACTGTAATGGAGGTTCCATAAGGATTTCTTTAAAATAATTTTTAGAACTACACATTGACTTTATGCACTTTTCTATATGAACATTATATTTCATAATTTAAATTGCAGATACACAGAGAGACATGGTACCTTTTAGTCTCTCCTCTTTTTCATCTTTTCCTCTATCTTGATGCTTGAAACATTCACCTAAGACTATAATAACAGAAGAAATGTCAGACTAATGATTTGGAAGGAAGATAAGTCCCTGAGAATTCTGTGGGGCCAAGCTACCATATCAGTCCTGAACTTCTTACCTCTTGACTTTATTTACTTGAAAAAAATAAATTTCACATTATTTTCAAATGTTCTGTTACTTATACAGTCAAATATGACATTAATGGATATGCCTATGTACAAAATTTTCAAAAAGACAACTCACCCAATAGAAAAACTGCCTGATCTTATAGACATAAATATACATAAATACATATATATTCTCCATATTCAAATGCACGTATGTAAATAGGCAATTCATGGAAGAAGAAATCTAAAGAACTCATAAACATCTAAAACATATTTAAGCAATAATCAGAGGAATAGATGTTAGAATGAAATAGTTTAATCAATATATTGGATCAGCAAAAATTTCTGAGAAGCAATATAATCAGTACTGTTGTATATTCAAGAAAATGATCCTGCTCATCATTATTTATGTAAACTGCTCTACATTTCTGGAAAGTAAATTGGCAATATCTATTAAATTTGAGATGCTCTTATAACTTGAGCCAGCAAACCAAAAACAAATCTATGCCATAAAGATTATTCGAAAACAAATATCCAAGAATTGTATATGATGTCTGTCAAGGTAAAAATCTGGAGATAATCTGTTAATTATTTATAGTGGAATATTTAGATAAATTATGGCACTTACTATGTGTGAAGTATTGTGTTATATTTAAAAAGTGGGTTAGATATATATATATATATATATATATATATATAATCAGATAGTTGTTTAGTGAGGAAAGTAAGTTACTCATTTGAATATCACTAGCCAACTCTGTGTATGCCTATTTATACACGGGAGAAAATGTGAAAATATATGAACATATAAGAAAGCATGAAAAAATACAAGTCAAATTATTAATATTGGTTACCTGGGAGTCAGGGTGGAAATAGAGATTACTTTTTCTGTATAAGTCTTTGGATGGTTTTATTGGTTACAGTGAGTATGTTACTTTTATAACTTTTACAAAATTGCTTATAATTAATAAAATATATATGTACCTGTATATTTATGAATACAAAATAATTAATGTGTGTCAATGGCAGGTGAACATCTGTAAAACTGATTACTGCCAAATCAATATGATTGACGCAAATTGCACAAACCTGTACAAAATAGAATGAAGTAGGCGACTTAAGAAAATAATGTGATTTCTGTGAATAACGTGATAACTGTAAATAGTAATGTTTTACAGTATTTCAGTGATCAACTAGAAAGGCAACTATTTGCTAGTAAAATAAATACATGCTACTTCCTGGGAAAGAACTCAATGCCAGGCCATGTCATGGAAAAGAAGTCAGGAATTAAAAATTACAGAGAAAAGGGCAGTTCTTCCTCAGCTAGGTCTAGTGACTTTAAATGAGAATGTACGGTGAGGGTGGAGGGGTGGCTGCCTGTCAATCAAGGTGTAAAATCCACCTGTCCCAATTTAAACTGTCTTTCTGTCCTTCCTTAAATGTTCTTCCGCCATTAAGGCACAATCACCTAGCAATACCTTAATACCTTAAGCAAGCTGGCCTCCTCCCTTTTGCTCTCCTTTTCCCTGAATCCATTTTATTGCTAAATCCTCTCAATAATGCCCTTAGAAAGCTTCTGCCCTTGCCCTCCCTCTGGCCCTGTTGCGTTTGGCCAGGACTATTAATAACAAGCCGGGACTCTTGGGTCTTCTCGTCCCTTCACACTAGGGTCCCCTGACTTTTCCAGCGTCACACTCGGCCTCGTGCCGTCAAGGTTTTCTCACTCACGAGGACGTTGGTGACAACCGGACCGTACACGTAGGGTTCCAATATCCTGTGAGCCCCCTAGCCTGTGGGCCTCCGCCGGAAGTCGAGGGGTGGGCTGCATCAGGGGCGGGGCCTGGCTTGGCCAATGGAAGCGCTGAGTTCAGCGCCTGAAGTCACGTTCTGAGTGGGCGGGAACTTTCCCCAGGGGAGAAAAGCGTAGGAAGAGCTTTTACTTCAGGTAAAAGCCCTGAGTGACTGGCTTAGGGAACGGGGCTGGGAGGGGAAGATACTCCCTAGCCCAGAGTAAGAGGAGATCAGGCCCGAGCTAAAAGAGGGCAGCTCAGAAATTTCTGGAAAACAAATTCGTGAGGCCTGGCTGATGTGGCCGTGTGGGGACAAGAGACCAGAACCAGCGTCCACTTAAACTAATTAGGCAAAGAAAGTGGGGTGCGGGGTACAAAGGGCACTGCCACAAAAGGCCAGTGGAGTTTCAACCCACCGGCTAGAGGTTGCTTGGGTTAAACAACATGAGTAAGGAAATGAACCTCGCCTCCGTGATCTTACATTGTTAAAATGTGGTTTTTATGTGAGGGAGGAAGGGGAGAAAGTTGGAGATGCCTTAGAACCGTGGAAGTAGGAGAAAAGCCAGCTTGAAGATTTACTCACCTCTATGTGATTGTAATTAATATTGGGAAAACTTACCTCCCCCGGCCTTGAGCCTAAGAACCCAACCTAATTGTTGTATGCGTTTCCATTTGGGCCCAGTAGAAACCAGTCAGGAGGTAGCGCAAGAGAAAGCAAATCTTTAGGAATAGATAAGCCAAAAAATAAAAAAATAAAAAAATTTAAAAAACGGTGGGAGGGATTGCTGCAATTCAGAAGTTGATCATTTAAATGTACCTTCTCTCTAACCATGATTTTACTTGTTTACTTCTTTGGTTTTAGAAAATAAGAACAATTTATGTTCTTCCCATTCACCCACTACTATAAGATAGGCTCAAATATCTATAATTCAATGAAACACACTTAACAAATGAAATTCTAAGAATGTATGTAAGATGTGATACCTTAAGAACTACATATTTAGCATGAATGTGAATGACTTCAATACAAAACTTTTTTAAGGCAGTTGATGAGAGTGTTGAGTATGAAGTTGATAGAGATCATTGGCTTCACAAATCAGATGCAAAGGCTAACATGAACTGAAAGAGTAAACTAATACTTATTTTTATTTTTTGAAATGACTTCTAGAAAGGAACAATCAGATAAATTTTTGAGACAGTGTAATATCAAGAACTGGAAATTCTAGAATCAATATATATTTTGCTGATCAGTGATACACTATATAGAAAAAAGGCATAGAAATGGTATGATGGGAAATATTCTCAGAGGTAATCAGTAATAAGATGTCATATTGGCATTGGTTAAGTAATGGTAACACTTATTGTCCCACACTAGCTCATACCACAGAATCTAACAGTATTAAAGCTAATATGTAACATAGTAATAATAAGTAACCTAGATAACTTACTGGGCTCAGTTTAATTGGAAAGCTTTGTAATATTAAAAAATTATTTTGAGTCACTAATCAAATAATTGTGTTCTAGATTATTTTAGTTTATTCTTAGTTTTATAAATCTAACAATTGCATAATTTAAAATATTCACTTGGTAATAACTGAAAACAGGTGTAGACTCCTTTAATATGAATGGTGCCTTCAGATCTTTTGGTTCAGTACATTTTCCACAGGTAAGGAAATAGATAGTACCAAACACATTTAAAAATAATAGTGAAAGTAAAGCAAGACCATTTGAATTAAAATGACTATTTCATTAAATAAAGTCTTCTGACAAACTACCATGTAGAAACTTTTTACTTACATTTGACTTCCCCCAGACATTTTAAATTAACCAAATACTAAGAACTATTTGAAAAAATGGCCTCTTTCATAGATTAAGTTGTAAGTGTAATTCCGTGAGTTCTCACATAAATGAGAACCAGCCTAGACTAACTCTGCATTCTAAAATTTACTTATTGCTTCATTAGATGTACTTGCTGATATACTACTAATGACCTATTGACCTAGTTGCCTTGCTGTATTATAGTTGCTTTATTACAAATAAGCTGTCTATTAAGGAATGCTAGCTTTAGGCTTTTCATTTTCTAAGTAAGAGCATGGAAATAATTCCCAAATACTACTTTAGTCCTTCAGCGCAGAGTTTTGCTGTTGGTTATGCAATTTCAAGACCTCTTGAAAAACATGGTTATCTTGAGAAAACTGCTCTGCCAGTCTTTGAAACGCCAGTCTCTTCTGCAACAAAATGATCACATTAACTGTATTTCAACCCATAAACAGCTATATGGTTAAGCAATATAGAAAAATGTATAAATAAGTTTATGGATATACACAATATTTTCATATTAGATTTAAATTAATAATAAATGTTATTTTATAATTAACTTTTATCATCAGAACCATTTCTTTAAGTGAGTGAAACAAAGTCTTGTGATTAAGAGAGATTTTCTCCTCTTGGCTTTGCTACTTACCAACATTTTATTTTGTATTTACAGATGTTAAGTTTGTATTGCTTTATAGAAACAAGATATGTTTCCAGCTTTGAAATATTGTGCAATAGACTATTTATATGAGGTACTGTTACTGGCTTACTATCTATTTACTAGGAATTATGTTCTAAAAATATTATCTGCATTTGGTATATGATGGGTACAGTAATCCTTACATTATTCCTCACTCTAATTATTTTTACTTTCATTTAAAATTACTTTCCACTTTTAATTTGTGCTTAAAATTCCATCTTGGAAGGAAATTGCTACATTAAAATAATTAAACAATTAAAATGAATTTGAAATTACTGGAAGAAAAAACAAAACTTGGCAAGTTGGAAGGGTCTGTTAACACTCTACAGTTGAAAAATCAATCCTAGTTATCTTTATTATAAGATAATAATAACAGCATGTATTAACCACTTATGATGGGCCAGATACTTTGCTCTTCTGTGAATTATATTCTTTGATCATTATAATTACTCCAACAGGTTTTACAATTTTACAGGTTAGGAAAATGCTTTCCAGAGAAATTAAATAGTTTGTACAAATGTTGAAGGTGAGATTCAGTCCCAGGCACATTGTTTTTTATTGTTGTTTTGGTTTTATTTATTTTATTTTTGTTGTTGTTGTTTGTTTGTTTGTTTGTTTTGGGGGGTTTTTTTGGGTTTTTTTTTTTTTTTTTTTTTTGGTACCAGGGATTGAACTCAGGGGCACTTAACCACATCTCTAGCCCTTTTTAGAGACAGGGTCTCGCTAAGTTATTTGGGGCTTTGCTAAGTTGCTGAAGCTGGCTTTGAACTCTCAATCCTCTTTCTTGCCTCAGCCTTCTTAGCCGCTGAGATTACAGCATGCTCCACTGCCCTCAGCCTCAGGCACATTATTAAGAAATGTATTGGAGAAGTTGTCATATAACAGTTCATTGTTCTAATGATCTTAATTGACAAGTTAAATTTTCATTTCATTGAGCCCATCTAGTAGGGCAGAAATAAAATTACTCTAGTTAAACTAAAATTGTGCTATATTTTACATGAAATAAGACATATAGCCATCTTCAGGCTTTATTATTTCTTCATAACTGAGGGAAGCAAATATGTAGTGTTATGAGATATACATGATAGGGAGTCAGATATCTTAACAACTTTATGAATATAATTCACTTGCAAAAGTAGTGTGTACTCAAACATCCTCAAACTTTTATCCTTGCCCGTGGAATCTTAGTTTCTTGCTGGTATACTACACTCCTATGATATAATGCAAATATGATACTAATCAATGGCAGAGGTTGTAAAAGATGCAAGACCTTGAAAAGTTTATTAAGACAATATTTAAGAACCAGTTAAATAACAAATAAGACTATTATCAAATGAAGATCTTGCAAACTAGATCAGTACACAGACAAAAAGAAGAGAATGATTTGAACTATCCAAGGAATCAGAGATGCCTTGCCCCCTCAATTTTTTCTTTTGGACCTGGGGATTTAACCCTGGGAAGCTTAACTACTGAGCCACATCCATAGCCCTTTTTATTTTATTTTACTTAGAGACAAGGTCTCACTAAATTGCTTAGGGCCTTGATAAATTACTGAGGCTGGCTTTGAACTTGTAATCCTTCTGCTTCAGTCTCCTAAATCATTGAGATTACAAGCCTGTGCCACTGTGCCCACCTGCTCAAATATTTTCTAAAAATATCTTCTTTATGATCAAAGGTAAAGCAATGGTTAACATCATGCACACATAATATTGTGAGAATATTATGATAGAAAGCAATTATAGGCTAGGTATAAACAAAATTTTGTTAAAGTTACCTTTCATAATTTCTTTTTTCGATTAAGTGTTAAGCATTTTTCCTACTTACTATGAATCTTTGGTCTTCATTTTATAGAAATTAAGTTATATCTTCTCTATACTATTTATTCTTACATAACGATAACTTCCCATTTAACATAACACCTTTGGCACACATAAAAATCTTTTGGAAATAATGTAAGAAAGTATCATTTGTCCAAATATGTAGAAAAATGAATTCTGTGTGAAGTTAGTACCGCTCACAATCCCAGCCCCCAGAAAGTAGTTTCAAAAGTGAGGGCAGGATGGGCAAGCTGACCAGATGGGTCCAGCTTCTAACACACAAAAAAGCCTGCATCTGTTTTTTATTTATATCGGAGAACATCAAAGACTTTCCATAGTTCTCCACCCAAAATAGGATAAAGGTGGGGGCAGTTGGCTACTCAATTCCTAACAGGTTATGCCCCTCTCTGATACTACTGCGAGGGACCTTTCTAACAGAGTGGAGGGAAAGGTCATGTACATTGGGCTGTCTGTCTCCGAGGGAGAACCATGGGAAGTTCCCAGTGCCAGACCTATGCCCTCCTGACTTCGATGCCAAGAATAGGTCCTCATGCATTTCATGGATGGCTTCCCACAAGTTAGAGTTACTAAGGGAAGGCTTCATAAAGGAGATATTTAAGATGGTCCTTGAAAGATGAGTAGGATTTTGATAGCGATAGTAGGGTACTCTTGGAAGCACACTGTAGACTGTTGTGTTGATGGGGGAGTAACTACTGAATGGCAAGGATAGGTAGAGAAGGAACTGGTCTATTAGGGAAAACAAGTAGAGTAATGGGAATTAATGTTGAAAAGTAAAGGTAAATCTAAATCAGAAATCTGATTGATTTACCAGTTTATTCAATTGTTTGAATATCCTTTTCAAAGAACAATTTTAATTTTTAAATTAGAAACATATTTGCTGGTTATAACAAGTGAAAAAAAGGACAGCCGCATTATACTGGTTAGTGATATATAAATTACATGATCCCATTTTTTGTCACACATACACACACACACACACACACACACACACACACCCCACACACACATATTTTAGCCTAACCTAAGGAAAAAACTATAACAATACACAAACTATAAATGACATTACTAGGGACCTTAACTTTCTCAGTTAATGTGGTTCTTTTTTATATATTTTACAACAAGCATGTATTATGTTTAAAACAATAGAGATTTTACTATTATGAATATTGATAGTGTGTGTTAAAAGATTTTATCATCTTACCTTCTTATACAGAGTGTAGTTAGAAAGAAGTTCTCCAGAGATGCTTTATTGCTTCGAATCCCTTCATGTTTCTCTCAAGGTGAAAATTATGCACGACTTACTGATGATAAATATAGGCGGCCATGGACAAGAGGTATGTTTTAAAAATTATTCAGTTTAGTGCAGTAGATTATTAAGAAAATGCTGTGACCAGGCATGTGTTATTCAAGAATCACAATTCTAGGCCAGCCTGGGTGACCTAGGGAGATGCTGTCTCAAAATAAAATAAAAAGGGGGCTGGGGGTGTGGCTCAAGCGGTGGCGCGCTCGCCTGGCATGCGTGCGGCCCGGGTTCGATCCTCAGCACCACATACCAACAAAGATGTTGTGTCCCCCGAGAACTAAAAAATAAATATTAAAAAAATTCTCTCTCTATCTCTCTCTCTCTCCTCTCTCACTCTCTCTTTAAAAAAAATAATAAAATAAAATAAAAAGGGCTGGGGGATATAGCTCAGTGGTAGAGTGTTGACCTAGCATGAAGCATGTGAAAAACCCTAGATTCAGTCCCTAACACACACCCCCCCACACACACACACCAAGAACATGCTGTGCTTTATTCAGTAAAAAGTCATTGTGGGAGATCTTGGGGAATGAAATTGGCCAAATTGTTACATGCATGTACAGATATATTACAGTGAATTCCTCTATTGTGTGTTAATTATAAAGCAACCCAAAACTCATTTCACTTACATCAAAATTCCCAGTAGTTTATAAGTTGATTTTTTTATTACAGAATTTGGGTGACTAAGTATAGAATTAGAAAGTTTATACTAACTATAACAAAACAAAAAGATAAATAGATGATGAAGTCTTCAAATATTCTAAGATTATAAACATTTGTTTTATTATAAGATTTTTCTGTCCCAAGAATGACTATAAATTATAATTATACACTGAATATAGAATTACTCTAAAATGTATTTGCATGAAATATTGTATCTATCAAGTCAGAGGCTAAGAAATAGGTAACTTCCTTGGAATCCAGTTTGTCCCCTTTCTCACTGGTAGATCTTAAGAATAACTATAAAATAGCTGAGCTCAGTGGTGTATGCCTATAATCTCAGCAACTCAGGAAGCTGAGACACAAGAATCACAAGTTTGAGGCCAACCTTAGCAAATTAGTGAGGCCCCTAAGCAATGTAGTAAGACCTGGTCTCAACATAAAATAATAAAAAGACTGGGGATGTAGCTCTGGGTTCAACCCTCAGTATCAAAAAAAAAAAGAATAATTATAAAATGTTTTGGGAATATAACATCCTGAAATAGAGGGAAATTGGCTGAAACAACTCAGTCTGTGTTCAGAAACAGGATTTCTTTAATGCTTTAACCCAGTGTGGGGTGTTTTCTGGGATCCATCAGTTGCTACACAAGTGGGGCCCATGAAAACAAGATTCCATCCACCCTGGGTAACTTTCCTGAGTCTTGGGAAACCAGCTCACAATGAATCCTAGGCTTCTTTTGTCCCATACTGCCTATCTGTAAGTAATAAATTTATTTCATATTTCTTTTTATATGTCTCACTGCACTCAGAAAAGTTGGTAACCAGTGCATAGTGAACCTGCTTCATAACCTGGAGTTTCAAATTAGAGTTATCAAAGAGTGTATATTGCACATAAACTAATGAAAATGGGAGGAAACACCAACAGCATGAGTATAGATAGACCAGAGAGCTTAGGGCAGACCCTGGAACATTCCAGGTAACATCAGTAATTAAAAATCTATGTAGTCGGGGATGGGAGGGGGGTGCTGGGATTGTGGCTCAGTGGTAGAGTGCTTTCCTAGCACACGTGAAGCCCTGGGTTCAATCCTCAGCACCACATAAAACTGAAATAAAGATATTGTGTCCACTTACAACTAAAAAATAAATATATTTTTAAAAATCTATGTACGGGGCTGGGGTTGTGGCTCAATGGTAGAGCGCTCACCTAGCACATGCGAGGCCCTGGGTTCGATCCTCAGCAGCACATAAAATAAAATAAATGTAAAAAAAAATCCATGTAGAAGGAGAAACCAGCTAAGAATTGAGATAGAAAAACCATGAGTATGGTATTGTAAAATTCTAAAGAAAAAAAGTACTTAAAGAAGGAAGTCATTGATAACCTTGCTATAAGTGGCTTCCCTGGAATATGGTTACAAATTTGATTAGAATATGGTTGGAATGTGATTGAAGTATACTGAGAAGAGAATGAGGAGTGGGGAAATAAGGTAGCAAGTTTGGACAACTCTTTTGAGGACTTTATATGAAGGAAAATTTTTAAATGAAGCACTAGCTGAAGGGAGAATGAGGTAAAGAGAAGAATTCTTTGTTTTTGTTTTGTTTTGGATGTGTGATTTTTAAAAATATGTATAATAAGGAGAAACTCTAAAATGCTTATTTGCCAATGGAAATAATCCTAGTAAAAAGAGAATATGATGATGCAGGAAAGAAAAAGGAAACTTGGGAGTAAAGGGGGATAGGATAAGGAGCAGAATCATGGAAGTTGGTACCCAGTAGGTACCAGAATGATTATTCCTTTGTATATATTAGCAATATAGAGTTTGTGGGTGCCTATGCCAGGAAATTGTTAGAATTGGTGGTTAAAGATGAGGTAGTTCCTCTTTGTTTATATCAATTTTGTATGTGAATGCAGAGTCATAGATAGGGATCAGGATCAGGGGGATGAGCATTGAAAATTTGAGGAGAAAATATGTGAAATGACTGTCTTAAAGAGCAAGAAAGTCATTGTATTAGGCAATATACTATTATCATCTGTCAATGTTGGATGGCCACTTAAAATTTATGATCATAACTTGAAACGAGATCATTCAGCATAGCTGGGTGATTTTTCCCCCATACTTTTCAGTTGTTCTATAGTACATACCCAGAAAGTTGAGAAGGTATTTTCCCCCATTAATACAAGGAAAGGAGGAGCAGGGGAAACCAGAGTCTTTGTAAAGCAGTGACCTTGGAACTTACAATGTAAGTTACAACAACACCATGAAACAGCAACTACTAAGGAAACTGAGGTACATAAGTAGTATAATGTGGAGGTTAGATGGGTGGGTTCTTGGTTTTGTGAATTCAAAGAATGAAATCTATGGATACAAGGGTGAGATCAAGATAACAGGATTTATTAGAATAACAGAAAGAAAGCAGAGCTCCCAAAGAAGGAGGTGTCCAAGAGAGATATGCCAACAGGTGTCTAATGTGTAGGAGTTTTGAAAGGCGTATTGGTGGGGTGAGGGATGTTAACAAGCCAATCAACATGTATAATTTCAATCCCTTATTTACATAATTAAGAGGACAAGTCAGAAATTGTGGTTTAACACATCTGTTGGGGAGAGGAAGGGATCTACTTTGTGGTCAGCCATTGTTAGGGATAGGAGTAGGATCAGCTAAGGAGGAGGCATTGTGGTTGAAACTGTCAGCAGCAGTGACAGAATGTTCTAGCTAAGAAGGAGGTGTTGTGGTTGAAGTTGTCAGGAGCAATGACAGGATCTCCCCTAGTCCTGATGTCTCTTCTTCTAGGAAGGCAAAATCTCATTCCCTCTTTTCCTTCAAGGCCTGTGTCCTATCTGCTTATAGGAATTCTCCTTTCCTGCCTCATTCTCTTAGTAGTAGCATAAGGATTACAATCTAGGCAGAGTGATTTCAGAACCTGTACATTTACTCATTGAACTTTCATATTTTTTCAATAAGGTATAGACTTATATGTAAAGTGATTTGTTTCAGGTATCAAAACTAGTCAGAAATAATACTGATGGACTCTGATTTTACTGGTGGTAGAATATTTCATTTGTATATTCTGACACTAGCATATGACATGGTCCATCTCCTTTAGGAACCAAGGAGGCAATTTGGGTGACAAGCTTAAATACATAAAATTTTAAATGTGCAACTGCGTATGATTAAGTACCAGATTGTTTCTGACAATATTAAGGACTTTCAAGGGGAGTACATGAGAGTGAGATGGAATGGTTAGTGAAGGCCTTATTAATTATAGCATGAGCTGTTAAAGAAAAGCTGTGAAACAGGATGATGTTTGATGATATTCTGTGGTTGAATTTTGGTTGAGGCAGGTTGTAACAATGAGAATGATTACCTAAGTGTTTGGAATTAGATATCACTTTGGGAAAAAATACATTTGTGAAAAATAAAGATAATGCTTTATTTGTAAATAAATGAAAGATTTACCATGTAAAAATTTTGGTTTCCTTATATTAAATATAAAAGAAAGTTTTAGAAGCTAATGTTTACTATTCTCTTTCCTAGTCTCAGCAGTTTCAGTTTGGGGAATGACAGACAGCTCAATCTTGGATCAATGGAAAGCAGGTTTCTTTGTGGAAGATTTCCTTGAGAAGTATGTGTTATTAACCTCAAATTTCCTTTTACATCTAGGAAATGATAAGCATTAAGTTCTCCAGACACTTGAAAAGAAAAAAAATTTTCACCTCCCCACATATTTTCTTCTTTTATATTAAAAAGAGAGAGAAAAGAAAAGAAAGAGCCCTAATTTGAACCACACAGAGGCTAACTGGAAATTATTTATTTCCCCCATTTAACATTTATCATCCTAACCTTTCTGTTTTTCTTAGAATATGCCAATCTTGTTTCCTTCTTTAGGCCTTTGTATGGCTCTCTCTCTACCATTATGCCAGCTCCTCAGCGGGCCCTTCACTAACTATATTCTTTAAAATATATGTCTTACCAACCCACTGGCTGTTATTTGATGTTCATTTATCTTGTTTTATTCCATTAATAACAGTTTTTTACCATAATTATTTGTTTATTTATCTATCTTTCCTTTAGCAGATCATCTTCGGGAGGGCAAGAACATTGCTTTGTTTACCTGTCTTTTCCCAGCACCTAGAATGGTATTAGCGTGTTATAGGCACTCAATAAATATTTTCTTAAAAGAATTAGTGAGTGACAGTTGATAGAATTACACAAAAAAGAATGATAGCAAAAAAAAAAAAAAAAAAAAAAAGCTGATCTAGGTTGGAAATCTCAAAAGCAGCAGTATTTTCAGGTTAGGAAAAAGGAGAGGCACCAGTGGAAAAAAACGAATAACTGAAACCCTATGACAGGAAATAAGGTGAAGGCCAAGAAACACGGAATTGTCTTCATAGATCTTTGTACTGGGGAAAAGAATTGGCCATGTGTTCTCAAAATCATAGTACCAAGTATTATTACAAATGACAACTCTGTCAGCAACATTTATTTTGTGTAAAAAAAAAAAAAAAACACCAGCTATGTAAGTACTAAAGTACTAAAGTCAAAAGTCTATAAAGATCCACATATGAATCATATGTTCTTAATCCATCATATGAATATGACCAAATGGAAATATTTCTTCCTGTAACTATGTTTTCTTCAAGAGTAAAGGAGAAATTCAAGAGATTTTTTTTCCTATCTATAATTTTAAGATACAGCATATTCATTATTTTTATTATTTATTTTTACATTAGGAAGTTATATTGATTTGGTTCTTTCAGTCAGTACAAGAGAATTATATGGGCTAAAATATTTAGGATGTCAGAAAAAAAAAAGGTATATTAGCATGTATGGCAAAACTATTCATGATGTGTTTATCTGCTGGAAGATCTCTTATAACGCCAATATCTTAATGGTATAGACAATGGCACATACACCTGTATCATTTGGGAAAGAGATATTGGCAAGGTTAAGGGAACCAAAAACCATTCCCCTGAACTGGGAACATCAGAAGTTTTTATTCCACCTAAGTAAGAAATAATATAGGAAATGAGTAGTTACCAACATAGTAAGAACTACACCTACAGGAGATGGGCTATCCAGTAAGAGATGTAACCTTTGGTGGAAGAGTACAGTCACTTCCAAATTACAGCCCAGCAGAGAAGGACTGGGAGGAATAATATTCCAACCTGTTTCTCTCACCGTTGTTCTCCTGCCAGTGCTTCCTGAACCCAACTAGAAGCTAGAGGGTACAAAATCTTGGTTTGTCCATAGAGATCAGCTTCCCAGGTTGCAGAACAGAATATAAAAGTTTAGATAATGACATTGATGAGCAGGTATTGAATGTTCAGCACAAGGGCAGTTTGGCAATGCATGACAAAACTTTAAAAATCTGTATATCTTTAACCTCAACAGTCCCACTTTTAGGAAATGTATATTGGAAAATTATTAGATAAGTACACAAAGATGTACCTTACAATGTTGCTCATAATAGAAAACAAAAGAAACTTCAATTTCTAATAATAGGGAACTGGTTGAATAAATTTTGATTTTCTGATTATGTAAGTCAGCTTTCTGACATTTTAACAAAATATATAAAGTAATAAACTTAGAAAAGATTTATTGGCTCGGGAGGTTCCAGTCCACGATCCCTTGAATGGTTCCTAGGGATCATTGGGCTTGTGATGAGGTAGCACCTCATGGAGGGAGCACATGGCAGAAATAAACTGCTTACCTCATGGACCAGAATTAAAAAAAACGGAAGAGGAAGGTACTGAGATCCCACTGTCCCCTTCAAAGGCATAACTCCCATGACCTATAGACTTCCCACTAGACCCCACCTCTTGAATCCACCACTACTACCCAATAGTATTCTGGGGACCAAGCCTTTCCTTTGGGGAACATGTAAGATCTAAACTATAGCACTGATTCAGTGAGATCCTTTTCATTCAAAAATGAAATGAATGTAAATATGCTCATGCTTTATTGTTAAACTAAAAAGAACAGATTACAGAAAACTTATACACATGAATCCATTTTGTCTTAAAATATTTTTTAAAATAAAAATTTTTTCATAATTTTTGTATTCATCTTGAGTGGTAGGGCTATGGATGATTTTTCTTTGTATATGTTGGAATTTGATATTTTTTTCCACAATGAACATATACTATTTATTAATAAAACTTTTTAAATAGGACATAGACAAAAATAATAATTTTATAATATTATAGAAAGACAGTTACAGGAATGGTATACCAAGTAAATGGTGAATTTGAAGAAATTGTTCCAAGTTCAAATCCAAACTCCCAAACTGAAGTAGAAGAAGAAAGCTTCTACACTCATAAGGATTACAATGAAGTCTTTACACCTGTTAAGTGTTCAGAAAAATGTCCAGCACTTCAGGCACAGAACCAAGGTACAGCATTTGTCATTTCAATTGTTATAAAATATGACTTACTAACATGCATATTTTCACTTTAGTGCATTTCTATTTAATTGAATTTTAAAATTTTTATTTTTATTAAAGATAACTATGTGCATACTTATTGTTTAAACTTTGCCATATTAGAAAAATATTTCCTCTTTCATATTAATCCCCTTTCTGTAAATTGGAATTTTGTTGTTTTCTATTGTTGTTTTGTTTTATTTTTTTGGAGTGTAAGTTTGCTGAGCCTCAAAATAACTTACAGAGATTTTATCATAGATGCTCACAGCATTTGCTACAATGATATTGGCATCTGTGTACAGATCTTATGACATAGCAATCTAGTGTAACATTCAATCCCTATTATGAAGTTATGTTTGTATGTTATTTTTCAAAACATGCTAAAGATTTTCTATCTTCTCTAATTTATGTGAAACTAAAGCTCAAAGTCTTGAATATTAAGATAAAGTTGAGTGCATAATGTAGTAGAAAGAGTCAGAATTTGAAGTCAGAAGATTTGAAATTCTAGTCCAAATCCAGTTAAGAAGTGGTACAATTTTTGACAAAATTCCACACCCCTTCATGAAAAAAGCCTAAAAAACTAGACAGAGAAGGATGTTATCGCTACATAATAAAGTCTATATTTGGAAAACTCATAGTCAGTATCATACTGAATATGAAAATATTTCCAAGCAAATATATAGGAAAAAATGAAAGCATTTCCTCTAAAATCAGCATGTCCACTCTTGCCACTTCTATTCACTGTAGTATTTAATTGGAGCAAGTAGGTGAGACAAAGAAATAAAAAGGATGCAAACAAGGAAGAAAAGTCAAATTATCCCTGTTTGTGGACCCTAAAGACTCCACCAGAATACTTCAAAGTAGTGGGATATAAAATTAACAAGCAAAATCAACAGATTTCCTGTACATTAATGTTGAACCCATTGAGAAAGAAATCAAGAAAACAATTCCATTCACAATGGCTTTTTAAAAAATATTGTTTTAGTTGTTGATGGACCTTTATTTTACTTATTTGTATGTGGTGTTGAGAATCGAACCCAGTGCCTCACACATGCTAGGCAAGTGCTCTACCACAACCACTACCCAATAGTACACTGAGCCACAACCCAGGCCTACAATGGCTTTTTAAAATGCCTAGAATAAACCTAACCAGGGAGGTGAACAATTTTTTACAGTGAAAATTATAGAACATTGAAGAAATTGAAGAAGACACAAGAAGACAAAAAGACCTGCATGTTCATGGATCAGCAAAACAAATATTGTTGAAATGGTAATGTTATCAAATACAATCTATAGATTCAATATCGTCTCCATCAAAATACCAATGATATTCTTCAGAGAACAAGAAAAAAATCCTAAAATTCATATGGAGACACAAAAGAAGAACCTGAATAGCTAAAACAATCCTGAGTAAAAGGAGCAACATTGGAAATATCACAATACCCAATTTCAAAATATACTACATAGCCATAGGTAACAAAATATAATGGTACTGGCATAAAAATGAACACAAAGACCAATGGAATAGAATAGAGAATTCAGAGACAAACCCATGCCACTCCAGTCATCTGATTCTTGACAAAGGAGCCAAAAATACAGCCTCTTTAACAAATGTTGCTAGGAAAACTGAATATCCACAAGTAAAAGACAGAAACTAGATCCTTATCTCTTACTATGTATAAAAGTCAATTCAGAATAAATCAAGAACCTAAATGTAACACCTGAAACTTTGAAACTTCTGAATAGGACTTTAATAGCTCAGGAAATAACAAGAATTAGCAAATGGGACTACATCAGATTAAAATGCTTGAGCAAAGCAAAGTATACAATTAACAGAGTGAAGAGGCAGACTACATAATGAGAAAAATTTTTGTCAGCTACCTTCTAGCAAAGGATTAGTATCCAGAATATAAAAGGAACTAAAAAACACTAAAACCACAAATAACCAGATCAATTAATGGATAAATGAACTGTACAGACATTTTAAAATAAGTATGAATAGCTAATAATTATATGAAAAAAATTTCAACATCTTTGACCTTGGAGAAATGCAAATCAAAACTTCATTGAGCCAGGTACATTGGTGCTTATCTGTAATCCTAGCAAGTCAGGAGGCTGAGGCAGGAGAATCACAAGTTCAAAGTCAGCTTTGTTAATTTAGTGAGACCCTATCTCCAAAAAAGAAAAGAAAAGAAAGAACTACAGTGAGATCTCAGCTCGACTATCATCAAGAATAAATCAAGGGCTGGGGATGTGGCTCAAGCGGTAGTGCGCTCGCCTGGCATGCTTGCGGCCAGGGTTCGATCCTCAGCACCACATACAAACAAAGATGTTGTGTCCGCCGAAAACTGAAAAATAAATATTAAAATTCTGTCTCTCTCCCTCTCTCTCTCTTAAAAAAAAAAGAATAAATCAACAAATAAAAGCTGTTGAGGATGCAGCTTAGACATCCAAGCTTGGTGAATACTCTAATTAAAATCCACATAATATAGAGATACCTACTTACTCATGTTTATTGTGACACAATTCACAATAGCCAAGTTATAGAATCAGCCTAGGAGCCTGTCAACAGATGTGGTGTATATACACAATGGAGCATTATTCTGCCATAAATATAATGAAATCATGTTATTTGCAAGAAAATGGATGCAACTGGAAATCATCATGTTAAGCAAAATAAGCCAGATTCAGATATACAAGTATCACATGACTTATGAAATCTAGGAAGAATGAAAGATATGAAAATAGAAGGGAGATTATTAGAGAAGAGAAAGGATAAGGAGGTGGGGGTGCACATTAAGGAAGGGTAAGGGGGAAGACGTAATCAAAGTATGTTATGTACATGTATGAAGATGTCACAGTGAAACCTGCTGTTCTGTATAATTAAAATTCACTAATAAAAAACAAAGTGTCCTTTGAGATTTGGGGGAAAATGTTATGGTTTTTAATATTCATCTATAATTCCTTTCTCTTAATTTATTCTTCTAATTATAAAACTTTGTGAGGATAATATAATAAAAATAATGTGTATATATGTATAAAGGAATACATATATACATGGTTTGTGAAAAATAGTACGTTACATAAACATAGGATTATTATTAAGGTTACAAATTAGAAGTCACTATTGGTTAGAATCAACTATTTACTGAATCAAAAATGCTTTAATTTCCCAAATAATTATATATTATTCATATCCTATATTTCCTAAGAGGTCCTGTGTCATTCAACATCATTTTATAAATTTAGATTTTCAATTTTATTTATTTTCTTTGTATTCATATTGATTCTTTCCAACGTGTTATAGATAAGTTGGTCTTACTATCTAAGTCAAAAGGAACTTATTATACTTTGAATTTCAATTAATACTATATATTATCTGGATCTTATAATAAAGATAGAAAATCCTTAGTTATAAGATTATTTCAAAAATTTTAAAAATTTTTTAATTGTAGATGGACAAATTATCTTTATTGATTTTTTATGAAGTGCTGAGAATCGAACCCAGTGCCTCACACATGATAAGCAAGCACTCTACCACTGAGCACAACCCCAGCCCTATTTCAAAACACTTTTAAGACAAAAACAATGGCTGCTTTTCTTTTACTTTTTACTGGTTTGTTGATATTTGTTAATTTTCCAATACATATAATTATTTTTCTGGATATCCTTCAGGACATCCTAGAAATACACAAACAAATGCAAATATATCTTTTATTTTTATACTTATAAATAAAGTTGTGCATGCATATAGTTTAGAGAGTCAATAGTTGATTGATGCTTGTCATAAAAAGCATCAATTCCCTGGCTTCATCAACCATTCTCATTTTTTCACTTTCCTGAGGCAACTGCTTGCAACTCTTTGATACAATTTCAAAAGAAACTCTATACCTTTGCCATTTACACTATTTATATGTCTATATATAAAATATTTATACTGCTATTTCTTGATTTGGGGGGAACCTTATATTTTGAACTTTTACCACACAAAGATGGAACTGTCTCTACTTTTCTACTCCTTTACCACCACATACCCCCATGCTACCTATTGTTCACTCTTCCACTGTAGTTATAACTTTAGTTAGTTCAATAGTTAGTATTTATAGAATTTTGATTGTATAAAGTACAATGTATATATGCTACCCCTTGGCATTTACCTGAAGAATTGATATCATCATAGTAGAGTAGTTCATACATATCCATGTTTATAGTAACACAATTCATAATAGCCAAATTATGGAACCAGCCTATGTGGCCATCAACAGATGAATGGATAAAGAAAAAGTGGTATTTATACATGGTGAAGTTTTATTCAGTCATAAAGAAGAAAGAAAGTATGTCATTTGCAGGAAAATGGATAGAACTTGAAAACATTGTATTAAGCAAAATAAGCCAAACTTAGAAAGTCAAGAATCATGTGTTTTTCTTGTATGTGGAAGCTAGAGAGGAAAAAGGAAAAGAAAGGGGGGAGGGATGGAGGAATCTCATGAAAATCAAAGGGAGACCACCAGTAGAGTAGAGGAAAAGAACCAGAGGGAGGAAGTATAGAGAGAAAGAGGAAGTATTGAAGAATGATATTGGCCAAATTCTGTTGTTATATCATGTATAGGTACAAATATGTAACAATGAATCTCATCATTATGAATAATTATAATACACCAATAAAAATGGGAAAATAACAATGTAAAAAATAGTATTGTGGTGGTCAATGATTTCTTGTACTCTATGAAATTAATACTTGTTTTCTTAGTTTTCTATGAATTTAGATCTGATCCTGAAACCCTCGTATAGTTGTCTAAATAGTTTCTTATTACATTCAAACATAAAGTTTAGTAATAGTTTTATCTATGGGGACTTTAGTTCTAGAAGCAGTCATTATCACCATCATCCTTGGGCATTCTGTTCACTCATGTCTTGTATTGGGTTCTCTGTTTCTTCAACCTTACGATAGCTGGGTTTATTCCCTCATTTCCACTAGCATAGCATAAGAATACCCTATTAATGCCAACTTTTTCATTGAGTATATTATTACTGATTTAAACCTTGTGATAAGTAAAAAAAGTATATTTTATTCATTTTTAAAATCGTTGGTGTTTATTTGCCATGCAAATAATTTTCTTTTGTAAAGTGATTCTCACTTTTGTTTCTTTCTTGTTCATGTATATTATCTTAATATATAAGGTATCAGTAACTCCAAATATATTTACTTTGAACCTAACCAGTTCTGTTAATGTTTTCCATTATAGTTTCTTTCATCTTTTGTACTTAGAAAATTCTTCCACAATTAGATAACTATTTACTTGTATTTTCTTTAAGATTTTTTATAGTTTTATTCTGGATTTTGTTATATGTTTAGAAGTAAGGAATTTTTTTCCTAAATGTCTGGCAGCTATCTTAATATAATTTTCCACTGATGAGAAATGCCACTTGCATCATATACCAAATTCCTGCCCTCATTAGACTTTGTTTCTGGACTTTCTGTTGTGTTCTATTGTTTTGCCTAGTATCGTGTCAGTATTATATGGTTTTAACTATTTAATATACAATTATAGCATGTATTAATGGTCTCTTCTTTTTGTTATTTTTCCCTACTCATAAATCTTTATTCCTCTAAATTTCCTTTGTAATCATTTCTCCAAGTTCCAAAACAAACCTTGTGGGAAATTGAAATGGTGTTGAGATCCTTTAAAATTTACCAGATTTATTATAATTATTATTATTCAGAAATATGGTTTGTCTTGTCTTTTCTTCAAGATTTTTTTTTAATTCTCAGTAAAGTTTTTTTTTATTTGTTAGCAAACCAGTCATTTAATAATTTTGATCAGACACCTAAGTTAACTTTTTTTTTTTTTACTTAATTATCTGGAGTGTTTTAGGTAAACAGAAGTTTCTTCTGCAAAGAACAAACCCTTCCTCTTTCCTATAAATAGACCTCTTTTTTCTGCTTCTTTTCACAATTAACTAGACAAAATTTTGTTTCCTGGTGACAATTTAACACTCCCCTATGATAGATGGAAACAGTCTCTATCTGTGAAACACACATCGTAGTTGTTATAAAGTACGAACTCTGGGGAATGCTACATAGCTATGAGAGTTTAAAAGCAGCACCCTTGGTAAAACAGCCTTTGTAGAATTATAGAGAACATTGGCTGTGGTGAGATGCTGCCATCAAGTGGTTGCATCAAAAAAAGGCTGGTTGGAAAACAAGGCCTCATAAACTGACATGAGATGTCCCTATGTACTTACTCCTAGAAATATCAGAATGTATCTCCAGGTTGGGAAGACATTTGGAGGGTCTGTGTTTGGGAGAGAAAAGTGGAGATGGTGATATAAATAAATTCTGGTTTTACTATTAATATGACCGAATTCACATTTCCAACATGGACTATATTGATAAACCATTTTAACTTTCTCAAATATAGCATCCTTGGGCCTGGAATTGATTTACTAGCTCTCTTTTGTGTGTCATGAAAATTTTTGTTCATGAGATTATCAGGAGCTTAGGTTCAGATAAACAATCTCTTAGGAGGCTATTTTATATCACAAGTTCTTGCCTGACACGCCTATAATTCCAGTGGCTCAGGAGACTAAGACAAGAGAATCAATAGTTCAAAGCCAGCTTCATCAACTTAGCAGGGCCCTAAGTAACTCAGCAAGAGCCTGTCTCTACAGAAAAGGGCTGGGGATGTGACTCAGTGATTAGGTGACCCTGGATTCACTCCCTAGTATGATGATGATGATGATGATGATGATGAAGATGATGATGATAATTATTATTATTATTATTATTATTATTATTATTATTATTATTATTATTTCTCTTTTCACAAAGCCATTTAGTACTAGAGATGTTCCCTGATGGCTTGACTTACACCACATATTTGTGTTATTTATTAGGCATATATGGTACCACTTGTATAGTTGGCCAAGCGAGATTTCACTGCCTGAAAACTCCATACTATTATTCCTCTCTCATGACATTCTGCCATCACTCAACTGAAAGGCCACTGCACTGAACAGGAGACCCCTGCTCTCCTTCCAGATGTTTTTAACATTGGGGAGTTTGGCTTTCCAAGTAGTTTCTCATCTGTTCATATGTTTTCCTTTTTATCTTTCCATGCAGGAGCTTATTGGAAAGTTTTATGTTCAGAAATTGGCTCCAAAACTCCCAAGGCTCAGAAACTGTTAGAGCTCTCAGTTAGCCAAGATTCTAAAGTAACCAAAACTCAACAGGGTGCAGATAGAGAGGAAAGATTTATTCCAGCAATTAACCATTAACAGTAGTGTTTGTTAATATATAAGACATATCACATTCTTAAGTAGATACTTTTATGTATAATTTTCATTGTAATTAACTTTATAGTAACCAGGCACGAGTAATTTTAAAATGGTATAATCAGAATTGGTTTCATTTGTAGGCTTTGTAGACTATCTTTCTTCCCCACATGTCAAAGTCTCTGGGGGATGAATTAAAGACCTTACAAGTTAAAATCATACAGAGATGAGAAGTTCAGAGTCAGCCAAAGTTAAATACTTTTATTTCTTTAAATTTTTGCTGGCTATTTGGAAGCACAAGATCTTTTTATCCAGTATTATAGTATAGCTCTTTTGGAACATTTGGCTACTCCTTGGTTTACTAAATAATATTAAAATGTATTGAGTTTTACCTAATGTTCTAGTACTATGCTACATGTTTTATATTTGTAATCCATTGAAGAACTAAAGAATTTTAAATGTGTTTGAAAAGCCCAATTATATCTAATGCTTGATTACAGTAGCTTTCAGATCCCTTTGTATAACTTTCACAACTTTTTATTATTTTTATTATTCCTTTAAATTTCTTATTTCTTTTCAGATTTATTTATTGATGATGAAGAATTAATTTTTATAAATGATTTGGCGACGCTTAAAAGTCAACTACCAACTTTAAAGACTCTCTTGAGTAGACTAAAACTCTTTTTGATAAAGGATCCCCTTTTAGATTTCAAAGAGCAGATTTTCAAAGAAGCTAATCTTTTCAGGTATTTGTCAGTGCTATAAATATTTTTATAGGAGAAAATATTCTCCTATATTCCTTTGTACAGTCACAAGATGAGATGATATCAATGATATTTTACCCTTGCTTTATTTCAACTTTAATTGTAGTCATTGTATACTTTGGTTAACTACATTTCTTATATAATTTGTTTTTAGTAAACACTGACTAATGTGTTTTGTTGTTGTTGTTGTTTAGTTGTAGTTAGATGCAGTACCTTTATTTATTTTTATGTGGTGCTGAGGATTGAACCCAGGGCCCCGCATATGCTGGATGAGTGCTCTACCTCTGAGCTACAACCCCAGTCCCTGATTAATGTTTTATTGTTCTTATTTTAAGGAAATATTTCTCCTTTCAAGAAGATTTGGACGTTTGTGTGAAAGAAGATTTTTATATGGATAAAGAAAACTTTTGTCAGGAGAAACTAGATGATGAAGTAGGTTTAAATGAGGTTGTAACACTTGGCTATCAATAATATTTTTATAAAAGTAAGAAAGCACACTTATACATTTTTAGTAATAAACATTGACTATTTGCATTTATCATATCTAAAAGATTTGATAATGATTTGAATGTGTATAAATTAAGGAGTCAAATTTACTTTTAAATACTGTTTCTCAGTCTTGGCTGTACCGTGGAATTACTTGAGGAGTTAATTTTTAAAAATAGTTAAAGCCTGTGTCCTACCCAGATATATTCTGATTTAATTGATCTGCTATTGGGCTGGGGATGTGGCTCAAGCGGTATCGCACTCGCCTGGCATGCGTGCGGCCCGGGTTCGATCCCCAGCACCACATACCAACAAAGATGTTGTGTCTGCTGAGAACTAAAAAATAAAAAAAAAATGTTGGGAATTCTCTCTCTCTCTCTCTCTCTCTCTCTCTCTCTCTCTCTCTCTCTCCTCTCCTCTCACTCTCTCTTTAAAAAAAAAATTGATCTGCTATTTATCCCAGGTATAGAGAATTTTAAAATGTCTTTCGATAATTCTAATTAATATACCTGATAGAGAAAATTGAGAAGTAATGTCTAATTTAAAAATTGGAGGCTGGGGCTATAAATATTGATTTATAAGTTATGCACAAAGCAGATAGTACCCAAGCTATATGGGAGGTGATCTCATTAAGGGAGTAAGACTACAGATTATCCAAGACTGAATCTGAAGTACTACCAATATATAATAAGGAAAATAGCATTTTGGGGGGGCTGAAGTTGTGACTCAGTGGTAGAGCACTTGCCTAGCATATGTGAGGCACTGGGTTCAATTCTCAGCACCACATATAAAAATAAAGTAAATAAAGATCCATCAACAATATATATATATATATATATATATATATATAGCATCTTTGCATATTAAAGGTAAAACTTCTCAAAGATAGTCTTCTTTTTAAGCATACAATTCCAATAGCTCACTGAATTGTTTTTATAATATAGTATGTAAAGAATCCTAGTTGAGACTATAAATAACTTTTTACAATTTGACAAGCCAAAATGTTAGATCCATATAGATTAGATACATTCACTAAGTTACTTTAAAAATCTTTTTAGAACAACTGAAAATATTTTATATTTTGGGGTTTTCTTAATATATTCAAAGGACATACATATAATGTTTGTATGTATAATGATATTTAAATGGCTTCCTTACAGTTAAAAATGTAACATGATGGTAAAAATAATCATTGTCTATTGGCTCCTTCCCTTCAGTGCCCCATCTCCTCTTTCATTTGAGAGTTGTGCACATAGTCAGTTTCACTTGTTGAAGAAGCCAGTTCAATAGGAATGAAAGAGAACATTTTCTATGGAGTGCAGTAAAGATTCATTCCACTCCATCAAATCTTTTCACTTCTCCCCTTTTACCACTTTTTACTTGCTGCAATGCTTGTTTTTAATTTAGAATTTTGAAATTTTGCTAAATTTGCTAATTTTGCATAAAGAATATGCTTCTGCATCTAGGAATAATTTACATCACTAATGTAATGAGTGATTATAAAAGATATTACTCATAGAATAATATTTGAATATTCTTGTAATAGAATATACTTTTGGCTGCTATACTTCTATTTTTTCAAAGTATGTATATTTAAAAATCAAGTATGACTTTAGTTTAAAATTCAGTATGCCATTTAAGTAAACTACACATTTATAAATTAAAAAATATTTACTTGGGAAACCTCCTAAAAGCTTCTTTTAACTGTATATTATTTCAGCCACCAACTTTTCCTTCTGAGTTTGAATCCTTAATATCTTCAAGCTTCAAACAAGAAATTGATATTCAACCACCCTCAGAACTGAAGGAGTCACTAGCCATAGTACCAGAAATAAAAAATTGTATAGATGAAAATGAAAAAAAATTCAAAAGAGGTAAGAATTAATTTTAAAACATATTTCTTATAAAATAGTATTACCTTGGTTCCTTATTAAAATATGTTCTGAACCTCCAGATTTTGTAAAAAATGTTGTACAAGGCCAGGTGTGGTGGTACACTCCTGTAATCCCAGTGGCTTGGAAGACTGAGGCAGGAGGATCTTAGTTAAAAGCCAGATTCAGTAAAAGCAAGGTGCTAAGCAACTCAATGAAACCCTGTCTCTAAATAAAATATAAAATAGGGCTGGGGATATGGCTCAGTGGTTGAGTGCCCCTGAGTTCAATCCCTGGTACAAAAAAAAAATGTTGTACAAGTTACATGTTGAAATCTCAAAATTATTATTAATAAGACTCTTTTCTCACTGTCAATCTTTTTCTTTCTTTTTTTTTTTTTTTTTTTTTTGGTGGGGGAGGGTCAGTGCTGGAGATTGAACTTAGGGTCTTGAGCATGCAAGTGCTTGCCACTGAGTACATCTCCAGCCCATTATTCTCTGTGTACTTTCTATGCCTGAAATTTCTCTGAAATTAATCTAATTATTTCAAAATAATTATACAAATAAAGCTAAAAACCTATATGGGTTTATAAAGATTTGTCTACTTACACACAGTGAAAGCACTATCTATTGCTTCTATGCTATTTTTAGTGAGCTACAGAAGCAGCTCATAGTTAAGGCACTCACAATAAGTATTCATGGAATCAGATGACTAGGAGAAGCATAACCTAGAATTTAGATGATTTCTCCACAGTTAGTCTTAGTAAATATTATTGAGTTATTTTTAAGGACAATTTGAGTCATATATGTAACTACTCTCTCATAAATTCCATTTGAAATGGACAAAGATAAATAGCATTATGGAAGGATGAAAGGGGGATCTTTAACATCCATTGAGAAGAGCGATACTTACCACTCACAGATCATAGATTTGAAGGAATTCTTACACATAATACTAAATCAAGGGAATTACTGATAAGCCTACAAGTCAAAGCAAGGGATTAAAAAGCCAACTGAGCAAGTGGATCAAATCTATACTAGACCTTGAAAGTATATCAGAGTTCAAAGCCACAAGGTGGACCATGAACTTTTTTAGCAGGATGCAAATCTCAACTCTATAAATGCTGATAGAAAGAACAAGTGAGTTTACTGTGATTACACTGTTAAACTCCCACACTTCACTTGACTTGAATGCTGTATTAATCAGAATATGGTGGTTATTACTATGCTATGTTATTACTGTTTTAAAATTTTTGTATATTAATTTTTAAATCTGAGTCATCTCATGGGTTAGTGTCCATTGACATATTTTTGTTGAGTATGAGTCACATTTTCCTGTTTTCTTCATTTTGTTACTACAGAAACTGTATTTTACTATGTTCCTTGAATCAAGTTGATTTTTTTTTTAGTAGGCTGTTAACTTGGTTGAACTCAAGCATTAAACTTAATCTCCCTTATGGTGGGAAAAAGCTGAAATCTCTACTAAATACATTTAGCCTTAATTACTGTGCTTGGAGTCTGCCCCATAAGTGTATATTTCAGAAATTTAGGCAGAGTTTATACATGTTTTGGGCTTTTCCTCTGTTGGCTTTCTCCTTTTCTGAATTTTTCCCTGTCACTTTTCAGCTGCTGTGGTAACTGTGAACTCTAGTTCAGGAAGAACTATCCATAATTCTTTAAGACAATAAGATTACAAGTTATTATTCAAGTTCTAGTTGCCCCATGCAACACCAACTACATCCTCCCTTCAAGTGAAAACCTGAAGAAATGGGAAATTCATTCAGCTGCAATTCCCTTCAGTTTCTGCCTACTTTAGACTGTAGAACCTTCTGGTAGTCATTTTATACATTTTATTTGGAATTATAGATGTTATTTACAAAAGAAAAGGAACAATTGTCAGAAGCAAAACTCTTCATTCTCTTTTACATATTAATTCTTTTTTGGGGGGATGGGTACCAGAGATTGAACTCAGGAGCACTCAACAACTGAGCTATATCCCCAGCCCTGTTTTGTATTTTATTTAGAGACAGGGTCTCAGAGTGAGTTGCTTACCACCTTGCCATTGCTGAGGCTAGCTTTGAACTCTTTATCCTCCTGTCTAAGCCTCCCAAGCCACTGGGATTACAAGAGTGCACTATTATGCCCAGCCTACAGATTCTTTTTCATCTACTTTTTCTCTCCTACAGTTCTATTAACTCTGGTCCACAAATGAATTTTCCCTTCCTTTCTCCTATACTTCACTTTTGTGTATGTTTATTATGATTCTAGTAGAATTTGGAAGGAAAAACTACTGGTATGTTTCATGCTATACTGAAACAGAAGCTAGAAATACAATTTTGAAAGAAATTAATTATAACCTCTGAGATCCTGGAGAAAGGGAGAAAGTTTTTTTAATATTTATTTTTTAGGGCTGGGGATGTGGCTCAGGCGGTAGCATGCTCGCCTGTCATGCGTGCAGCCCGGGTTCTATCCTCAGCACCACATACAAACAAAGATGTTGTGTCCGCCGAGAACTGAAAAATAAATTTTAAAAAAATATTTATTTTTTAAATATAGATGGACACAATATCTTTATTTTATTTTTATATGGTGCCGAGGATCGAATACAGTGTCTCAAGCATGCTAGGGGGGCACTCTACCTCTGAGCCACAACCCCAGCCTGGGAGAAACTTTTAGTAGAAAAATATGCTGAGTTCCTAATGTTAATAAGGGAATTGAGATTCTGCTTTTTTTTCAATTAATAGAAAAAAGTCAAGATATATTATATTTTTAAAATTAATGATAATACATGCATTTAAAATAAGATGTATAGTTTCTAAACACATAGAAAAAAAGTCTCTTAGTACTAGAATTAATTCTTTGGAAAATAAAACAAAGCAGCCAAAGAAATTAGAAGCATAAAATAAGATTGCAAAAGTACCACCTTTGTTTGAATAACAATAAATGGATTAAGCATCTCCATTAAATGAGAGATCAATTCTTAGATTAAATTTTAAAAGTAAACCTAATTGCCGTATTCCCGCAATTCTAAGACACATTATCAACTGCTACCATAAGACACATTATTAATTTAATAAACATGTTTAAGGGGAAACATTCAAAGTATAAGTCATTATAAGATGAATCACGGGCTGGGGATGTGGCTCAGCGGTAGCGCGCTCGCCTGGCATGCCTGCGGCCCGGGTTCGATCCTTCAGCACCACATACGAACAAAGATGTTGTGTCCGCCGATAACTAAAAAATAAAATATTAAAAATTCTCTCTCTCTCTCTCTCTCTCTCTCTCTCTCTCTCTCTCTCTCTTTAAAAAAAAATTACCACGTATGCTATTTGCAAGAGTTGTGCCTTGAAAGAAAGACAAAGGTGAAAAACAAAAGGATTGGCACAATGTATCATACCTCTAGGAAAAAAAACAGTATTAATATAGACAGGGGCTGGGGGTGCAACTGATGATAGAGCACTGCCTAGCATACATGAGTCCCCTGTGTTGAATTCCCAGACCACAAGTAAAATTCCAGCTAAGTGGAGCATAGAAAGTCATTGTATATTGATGAAGATTAGATCTTTCAAGTTATCTTATTCTTTAAATTTTATAACTTATGGACTTGACACCCTATCTTATCTTCCAAGGATTATGTAGATTTTCCCAATTTTATATTTCTTTGTTACTTTTAATTGACAGTAGAGGGGTATGTGTACATAATTTTGACTGATAGAGAATGGCATATATAGGTAAGTAACTTTCACCATTAAGTCAGCATTTTCTTCTGAAGTCTAAATCTCTACTTCTTTCTAAAAGGAAAATTGACCTTCAGTGAAGCAGGATACTTTAAAAAGGAAAAGGCCACTGAACAATGTTACAAAAAAACTAATTTAATAGTACTTTTGTTGATGTACATTTTCTTCCTTTTCCTTTCAGATCTTACTACCAAACATAGAATTGATATTGATGATATAAAACGTAGCTCCACAGAGATTTCAGGCATTCAAAGCCAGAGTGAACCAGAGTGCAATAAACCAGGTAGAAAATTTCAATAATTGATCTTATCAAGGGATACCTATATATAATACAAAAGTACAATGCATTCACATATATCATCTATTCTGAGTCAATTTCAGTTTTAAAATTTGGTTATTATAATCCTACTTTGTCATGTTTTTCTTATTCTCTATCCCTTTATATTTATTACTACCAGACTCTTATCAACATCAAGAGTGAATTATATAGAGAGGAGAGTTACAAAAAAATGGAGAAAATAGCATTAATATTAGAAAAAGAAATCTTAAAATATAACTTAATAAATAAAATTTTATATTTTTCTCAGTATTAGCAATCTTGCTGATCTCTTTTATACTCTTAAAAACTAGCTTTTTAATCCCCTCACAACAATCTCATCATCCTCTGCTCATTATTATATTATTTCATCATTATTATATTATTATCTTACCTAATTTGGAACCTCAGGATCATATTTTGTTCTAATGTGATGTCAAACATATTGATGATACTGCTACTTAAATTCATAATTGGATCACATTAATCATCTATTTGGAAGTTTGCTGCTTTATTTATGAACACGATAAAACTGTTCAATACTATCAATAAATGAAGATACATTTTTCAAACCCCACTCTATAAATGTATAACTCTGTGCGAGGCCATCTAGAGTCCAGACTCATTAAGATGAAGATTTTGTTTTCATAATACTATTTGTTTAACATCATCAATAATCAGTAAGGTGAGATAGTACTACCTCCTAAGTACTAACAAAATAAGCTACATAATTAAAACCATTATTATATATAAAACTCTTAGAACTTATAAAAATAAACTCAGTAAAGTTTAGCTGTTAGTGGATTTCTAAAAGATCACCACTATTGTAGTTGAGATATCAGATAATATGTGTGTGTGTCTATATATATAGATAAATTTAAGCCTGTGTCTCAAGTAACCCAAATTTGTCTTTATTGAAATATTTTTGTTGTAATAGAATGATTCAAACATAATAATTGATTATAAAATGTTCTGAATTTTACTTTATTTTATTAACTTTTTAATTTTCATATATTCCAGGAGAATTAGAAATACCACTAACTCGTATACACCTAACAAGTCAACATTCTTCAGTAAATTCATTGTGTACAGGACTTGAGACATTTCCATTTTCTTCTGTTTGTAAAATGTAAGCAAAGATTATATCTAGAACTCAAGCTATGATTCAGAACAACCAGTTTTTAAAATGATCTCTCTATATAAAGGCAATTTTCAAGACTTTCATGAAAACATGTAAGAGATAATATAGTGCCTATTGTGAGCAACTGAAGGGAATATATGAATATACATATACATATATATATGTGTGTATATATATATATATATATACATATATATATATACAGATACACACACATACACACATATATATATACACATTTTATTTTATAAATAGAATATCTTTAGAAAAAAAAACATGAAAGAAGTTAACATTGATTTACCCAAAAGGGAACTGGGTAACCTGGAATTATAAGTGGGAGTTTTCTCTCAATACAGACTTTTCTACATTTAGAGTTTTCAATATGAATATATTACTACTAAAAATAAGTACTTTGAAAATTTTAAGATCAGAACTTAGGACATTGCTTTAGATAGTTCCTCTACTGGCACTCACTGCCATAAAAAGGCAGTTGTAGAGTATTTGTTTGCTATGGCTTCCATAACAAATACCACAAACTATGTGGTACAAGACAACAGAAATTTATTTCCTCACAGTTCTAGAGGCTGGAAATTCACTACCAAAGTGTCAGCGAGGTTAGTTTCTTTCTAAGGCCTCTATCCTCTGCTTATAGAGGGCCAATAGCTCCTTTTGTATTCATAGGGTCTTTCCTTATCCTTGTCTTTGTCCTTTTCATATAAGAATACCAGTCCTATAGAATTAGGGTATACTCTAATGAATATTTAACCTATTTACCTCTTGAAAGACCTTGTCTTCAATATGGTCACATTCTGAGGTGGTACTAAGGATTAGGATTTCAACAATGAATGGATCGAGGTGGGAGCACACTTCAGCTAATAAATAGTTTAAAGCTCTTAAGTAGAGACAGGTTTCCTGAATCTATCACTTAGTAACTCTGACCTTAATTGCTCTGTACCTCAGTTTCTTTATCTGTTATAGTGGGTAATAATAATGTCTACTTCACAGGGTTGTTATGAGGTCTAAGAGATTTGTCATATATCTCTGACCAGAAATAGCTTAGGATCACAGAATAGTGATAGAATAGCATGGATTTTGATCAGTAGATCTATCGATTTACTGCCCTTACAGTCCCAAGGGGGCATATTTCATTTATAACAGAGGACATCTACTGACCTCATTCACCTCCATTAGTGTGATCTCAGTGTTGGAAAAACTGGACATGTAGAACCATAAATCTGTTTGATACCCCCATTGTTACTGCACAAAATGGTCTGTAGTCTTAGAACTAACATTTCAGGGCTGGATTGTTGTATTCTAATTTGAGCCAAAATTGTATAGCTTACTAGCCCAGCATATTGTACCTTTGACAAAGTCTGAGATAGCTTTGGTTGCTACCTTATAACATTTGGCATATATGTAATTTAATGTTTTATAAGATAGATTAATCTGATATTTTGGAATAAAGTTTCCCCATTGCAGGCTGGGGTTGTGGCTCAGAGGTAGAGCCCTTGCCTAGCATGCGTGAGGCCCTGGGTTCAATCCTCAGCACCACATAAATATAAAATAAAGATATTGTGCCCAACTATAACTAAAAAATAAATATTAAAAAAAAAAAGCTCTCCTTTTCCTCTGCTTGTTACTCCAGTTAACACAACTAGGCAGGGTACAGTCCCCTTCTTCCATACTGTAAACCTACAACTTAATGTATCCTAAAATTACATACTTTCAGGACAATTACAGGAAAGTCTACACGTCTCTAATGAATACTCCAGGATTAGAAACTGGGAACTGTATTCTGAGTTTTGAGTTCTTAGTTACTGGAGTTGAGACTCTGAACTTATCACTATTTAGGCTGCTTAAGTTTCTATAGTAGTCTCAGGAAGATGTCAAGCCATAAAATGGAGGAGCCAGCACTGAGGTATACAAGTGTTTCTTCATCTTCTGTTTAAGAATTATTTGCATTTGTAGGGTAAATTTGTGTTACACAGAACTCAACCATGAATTAGGACTGTCCTATCATATACGAGCCCTAAAAATAGCATAGGACAATTATGGAAATACTATAACTTGTTTAAATATTTTTAGTCTCTTGGCTAAGTTGAAAGATGCTTATTTGCAGATGTGGAATTCGATGGGAAAGATGTCTTCAGAAATCTCATTAAGAACAACAATATTTGTCTATATTTTGTGAGGTTGGCTAAATATTTCTCCTTCTTTTTGGCTAAAAACACTTATCTATTATCTGAAGGATCTAATTGTTAAAGAAACCTTAGTAAGATTCAAGAATTATCCAGATTCTCAAATTTTCTACCACATGACCAGATTTTTGGATTATGTGGGTAAACTGAATAGTGCAAACATGAAACCTAGCTTTCTATTAGCCTAGATTGGGATTTTTAAAATATCTTTCTAGTTGTCAATGGACCTTTATTTTATTTATTCATATGTGGTGGTGAAAATTGAACCCAGTGCCTCACACATGCTAGGCAAGCACTCTACCACTGAGCCACAACCCCAGCCCTAGATTGGGATTTAACTCACATGCTCACATATAATCCACATAAACAAACAACAGACTACAATCAATTCTCAGTCACAGGGAATGGAAGATTTGGGGCATAAAGGATTTGTGAATTAATAGAGAAGCTAAAACAGTCAGTCAGGACTTTTTCATAGTTCTGATCCTCAGACTAAGTGGTCTAGAATTTCTATATAGAATGGTCTTAGGTAGAGCCATTTTGTAAAAATTTTTGTAAAAGCTGCTATTTGCATGATAAACATAGAAAGTTTGCTTAGATTATATTTTTATTTTTGATGGCTTAGAGGATTGGTGTTGTCAGTTTATAGAGGGGAGAGCTGAACTCTCCTAAGTCAGTCCCTTCTAGCTCCAGATTACATTGAAGAAGGTAAAGATTTACAGGCAAGCAGAAATAACGAAAGAGTTTACAAATGATTAGACCTGCCCAGAGAAGGAATTAAGTAAGTATTTGAAATGTTGTCCATGGAACGCTACTTCCGTTTACACATTTATAAGATTTAACTTTTCATTTGCTTTTGAGTGTAAAAACTTCTTAGAAAAATACTTTTATAATTGCATGGAAGATGGAAGGAGACCCTCATTGTTATACAAAATTACATATAAGAGGATGTGAGGGGGAAGGGGAAAAAAAGAGAGAGAGAGAAATGAGTTACAATAGATGGGGTAGAGAGAGATGATGGGAGAGGAGGAGAGGGGGGATAGGAAGGGGATAGGAAAAGCAGCAGAATATGACACTAGTATGGCAGTATGTATAAACGTGGTTGTATAACCAATGTAATCCTGCAATCTGTACACATGGGAAAAAATAAGAATTCATACCCCATTTGAATCAAATGTATGATATATGTCAAGATCATTGTAATGTTTTGAACAACCAATAAAAAAAAAGAAAAATACTTTTATTAAAAACAAAATTTTGGGCTAGGGATGTGGCTCAAGCGGTAGCATGCTTGCCTGGCATGCGCGGGGCGCTGGGTTCGATCCTCAGCACCACATAAAAATCAAATGAAAGATGTATGAAGATGTTGTGTCCACTGAAAACTAAAAAATAAATAAATATTTTTTAAAAAAACTTTTTGTCAAAAAAGATTCAATGTTATTAATGTATTAAACTTTATTTCTTTTTCAGTAGTTTTCTTATTACTTCAGAATCAGCTAATAAATACTGTATGGTGTGGCAATTAGAAAGCTGTAAAAGCTCTTTGAACTCATTTTTGCATACAGGTAAAGAGTAATTGCTATCCAATGACAAGTAGAAAATATAGATGAAAATGTACAATGAATGGAAATGTAGATATCATTTTTCTTTGAGCATTGCTTATTACATAACTTGGCACAAAACTAAAATACCTAGATTTGTGCTAAAAACTTTATTATGCTAAAGGAAAAGATCTTGATCTTGCTGATTTTCTGGGTAATTCCTATACATGAAAAAAAAAGAAAAAGAAAAAATACATTATATGAAATTATGGAAAATGCAGTTTAATCTGTAGCAGCAAGAAGCAGAACATGGGGCAGGGTGAAGGAGTGGAGTGGATTACAGGGTGGTATTATAAAGAGGTATGAGGAAACTTGGGAGGGTTAGAGATATGTTCATTATCTTGATTATGATAATGAATTCATGAGTGCATACATATTCAAAAGTTATCAAACTTTTTACTCTACTAAATGCAGTTTGATACTTATCAATAACATCTCAAAAAAGGTCATAAAATATTACTTATCTCATAGGATTATTTTAGAAACTATGTAAGAATTATGCATATAAAGCACTTAGCACAATGTCAGATTTGTTTAGTAACTAGTAATTACTATTTTTAATATTACTACTTGTATTATTATTATTATTATTATTATTACAAAACTAATAATATCATTATAAAAAACACCATTCCAAATTTAGTATTTCAGAATTCATTATCCTAATTTTGAATGGATGTACCTTTGACAGAGTCTGAGATAGCAGACAGTGATATTAAGTAGTTGTGATACTTGGTTTCCTCCATGTATGATTTCTTCTATTTAGGCTAAAAAGTAATGAAGTAGTAACCTCTGTACCACAACATCTAAGATGATATATATCATAAAATCTGAAAAATGTTCCTTATTTAGGCTCATTACAATGAAGTAGAATTTCTGACTTAAAAAATCTTACATTCTTCAAAATATTATCAAATAAATTAATTTAGTAATTGAAAATGGTCAAAATATGGTTCCTTCTTTTACTAAATATAGAATAATTTTAACTTCCTGACATACCCAAAAATTGAAATAAGTCCTTTATGTGAATTCTATTGTTATTATAACGTAGACTTTTACAAATAGTAACATCTTGAGGACAAAATACCAGATAATTTCAGGTTTCACTTTGTTCTAATGAAAGTATATTTCATCAAGAAATCTCAGTGTGGTTCTATTTATTATGTTTTTCTTTATTTTCCCCCCTCCTAAACTGTTTTCTTTCAAGCACTAAGAATTCAAGAGCCAAACAGTCAATATTCAATTACAGATTTTAAAAAGATATTTTCCATCAAAGAAGAAAGCCTTGCGATTAATCCTGTAAAGGCAGAATGGTGGAAACCAGCAAGTCTAAATCTAGCAATAGGAGAAACTTTGGAACATCTAAATACATATGTGTGTCATGATGATCAACCTTCTAATGATACTAAAATGGAGATATTTTTGCCTAAAAAAGTGCTTCAATTGGAATGTAAGTACATTATAATAAAACATAACTTATGTGAACATTTTCATAATGAGAAAGATTATATATCTGTGTTTCTTCTCAGTGATTAAGAAAATAAAACCAAATTCAAGTATTCATTATTGGCTCTAGCTGTGGCAGAATTTATTAATTCTGACTTCCCTGTACTTCACTTTATAAAGAGGGAGGGACGGAGGGAGGGAGGGAGGGAGGGAGAGAGAGGGGGGGGGGATGATCTTGAAATCCTATTCTGTCCTAAAATTCTAATCTCTGTTTTTAAATTTCTAGTCATTTTCAATTGATGTTATTTCCTTTTATAAATGATTGTTAGTATAGTTTATATTTATATCAGCATTTTGCATTAAGTATTTTTGACCTGATAACTAAACTTTGGTTTTCAATAATATCTAGTAATCTCTTTTCAACAACAACAAAAAACCTCATGTGTCTGGGGCTATAACTTAGTGGTAGTGCACTAGTTTGGTATATATAAGGTCCTGGGTTCAATGCCCATACTGAGAAAAAAAAAATCTTCCTTAGCATTTTCTAATTTAGTATTTTTTACTTTTATAACTGAAGAAGGCAAATGTATTTTGTGTTCTCTTTTGCTAGTTTAGTTGCTATAAATGCCATTATATTTAACATGCATTATACCTCTTTGAAATATATATATATGTATTATTTTAAGATTAGTTTGTACACAGAGTAACTAGAAAACTTTAATGTTAAATAATTTGGGGAAGTTTATAATAAAAAAAATAAATATATGTAAAAGTGAATTTTGGAAGTTATTATGTGTCCTGGTTTAAGGAAATAAGGAATTTGGATGAGAATTATTATCTGTAAGTTGTGTTTCAAAGATAGAAGCCATAGAATGCTTTGAATGTGGTAGGAAGAAAAACAGATACACAGATTTTACCACTCAAATGTACACCAGTCCATCTCAGGCCTAGATGGTTACTCATGGTGGAATAAGAATTTATAGAGATTAGGTCAGGGGCCTGCAAATATCTAAACAGTGTATCAAACCTATGAAACTTAAAGTATTTTGATATATAACTAATTTGAGGTTAAAATAGAACATATTAACTTTGATATCTGATAGAATTATGATGATAATATTATTCTGAAGTGTAAGAAGCAGTAACTATTTCTGTATTCCCATAGTCAAGTTGTCAGAGTATCTAGAACAAAGAGGAAAATTAAATGTTTCGGGGCTGGGATGTGGCTCAAGCGGTAGCGCGCTCGCCTGGCATGCGTGCGGCCTGGGTTCGATCCTCAGCACCACATACCAACAAAGATGTTGTGTC